ACTCTCCAGCTGGGCAGCTTGCTCAGAAAGTTGGCCCTTCAAGTCGGCCTCCATTTTTGCAGATTCTTCTTTCAACTTGACGATCACAACATCACGCGCAGCTATTATATCCTTTTTTCCTTCCAACTGTGACGAAATTCGGCGGTGATCGTCTTCGGCAGCAACCAAACTGACCAATGCCCTGCCAACACATGCCTTGGCGTAGCTCAACCTATCCGCACTCGACAAAGAAGAGACCCCTACTTTCGATTTTGGGTCCCACACCATCAACGGCACACGAGCAGCATTTTTAGCGCTCTCCGGCATCTCAATCCTTGATGACATGTGCGGTGTCTTCACAGATTGAAAAGTGGTAAACCACTCCTCCACAACACCTTCGGGCACTTTGACGTTCGCAGCCCTCTCTTCATCAATGGACAGGAAAGATTTTTCAAATAAAGGGGATTCATCCGTACCCTTATCCGCTGCCTTACGACCGGAGTCATGTTTTTTCTTTGATCTCTTCTCCACACCGGAAGAAGCTCCAACATCTGCCATCTTCACCAACTTCCTCTTCTTCCTCTTCTCCGGTTGTTCTAACTCCAGGGACTTCGGAGAAGAGGGCGGCACTTCGGTATGAACAATCTCGGCCATAACCATCTCGGTTCCCGCTACAACCGGTTCAGGATCTGCTTGATTAATCGCAGCAGCATTTACAACCGACAACACCTCGGTAGTTGCCACCTCTGGCACGGACTTCGGGTTTTCAGGAATAGCGGCCGAAGTCGCGCTCGACCCCACCTCGGTCGACTTCTTACCGGTATTTTTCTGGCCGGCAGTCTTCTTCACCAACGCACGCACAAGATCCCTCCTCATGGCGTCGTTCAATCTCAGATCGCGACTCTTACCAACTTTAGATTGGAGATCCCTATTCGGAAACTTACGCCTGAACTCCTTCGCTTCCTTGACGGAGCTATAGCCCAGAAAACCGAGGAGTGGATAATATACTGCATTCCGGCAATAGATAAACAGAGTTACAAACAGCTATCCTACACGTATAGAAAGTCCGACAAAATCACCATAAATTCAAATTCTCTTACCGGGGTCAAATTTTGAAGTAGAAACTCCGAGAGATAAACCGGCAGCTTCAAGTTTCGAATCTATCAGGAGTGTACGATAATCTCGGACTTCTTTATCTAAACTGGCCAAAGTGATCAGCTTCCCACCAAACTCCGGACTCAACTTCGGTTCTTTCTGCTTGGTCTCTTTTTCTACAAAGGGCAAAAGTTCCGACCTGTTAGTACACAGAACAACACCAAAATCAGAAAAAATATATCCGAATTGAAAAACTAAAACAAATCACTTGCTCCGGAGTGAATAAACATAGGGATTGTCATCCCATCAATTCGGGGTTCATGGAAGAAGCCCTCGGATTGCCACTCTCCACCAACCCATAGCCACTCCTCCTGGAAACCGTGAAGACTCTCCGGGATCTCGATTATTATTTCTCCGACTTTAACACCGTGTTGCGGTTTCGCTCCAGCAAAGAAACAACACGAGGACTCGGCAACCCTCCTCTTCGGACTTTGTTTAAAAAGAAAAATACTTCTCATCTCCTCGCACGATGGTAACCCCTCACCATGCTCATGCAATAGCACCATCAAACCGATAATCATTTTCCAACTGTTGGGAGTGATCTGACACAACGGCAACCCCCAACTTCGGAGGTATTCTGTAATCAAGTTCGGCAACGGGGATCTCAACCCCGATCTCAGACTCTCAGCAAATATACCCACGCAACCCGGAGGTGGACTTGTTATTCTCTCTCCGGGATAAGGAGCGAAAATCTTCACCGAGGGAGGAACCCGAACCTGTTCTCGCAACAATACGACATCGGCGGTCAAGATACTCGGTTCACCCTCAAAATCAACCGCAGGATCAGGCCACTTCCTCACCGGTCTCCTCCAGTGAGGCGTCACAAGGTCAGCCGCATTATGTTCTATGACCAGGTCACCGTCCTCATCGTTCAACTTAATATCTAGATGCCTCACCAACGACGGGTCCCACCAGTGGTACTCAAAGGCCAATTCGACTAGTTCCGAATCATGGTAAACCTCCAACGGAACCGATTCAGTACTCGAAGAACTTGCCACCGCCTTGCCCTTACCCTTCGATGCCATCGTACAACAAAACAGAATGCAAAAGAAATAAAGGAAAAATTAGAGAAAGAACTCACCAAAAAATCCGCAAACACTCGGTGCGCAGGAAACAATTTTCGAACTCTCAGAGGAATTTGAACGATAATATGATGCAAAAACTCAAGAATCAAAGCAAAGGTGAAGAAAGTTCAATCAGAAATTGCGAAACCCTATTTATAATCTCCGACTTATGACCGTTAGGGATCTTAATTAGGGGCGCGTCCAACCGACGCGACCCCTAATTCCAACCGGTGCCACCTTTTCGTCTGGTAGAAGCCTACTGTTACACGTGGCGATCTATTAAAGCCGACCGTTACCTCATTTAAGACCATTACGGCGCGACTGTTCACTCTGACATTTGTTAACAACAGAACTCGGCAAGACGCTGTTAAGAGGTTATGAGCATCTTATTAAA